CAATCGAATCGATTGAGGTTTATGAAGGTCTTCCTTCCTGCTAGAGTGTAGATAGAAAGAAATGAAGAAGTCCATCATTAACTGTAGCTTTCAACATGTTTTATTCGAGAGTATCTCTAAATAGAAGTAATTGATAGATAGTAATAATTAAACACGTTAGTTAGGGGCCATTTTGAGTTGAGTTTTGAAATATGTGCAGGCTTTGTATGAGTTTTTTGTAAGTTAATTTACTTCTATGCACTATGAAATGTCTGGTTTCTATATGATTTTTCTTTTAATTTGCTTGGTACTATTTCCCTTACTAATTCGATCGATTAAATCCGTTCGAGTATGTCTGCGAATCGGCGGAAACTGTTACTCTATTCGCTCCATTTATTCTCGATGAGCCGCTATACTTAATAACACTTTAATTTCACAGCCTGCTTATTTCTAAGAAGTTCTTGTATGATGGAGCACCCCTATTCGGTTTTACATTAAGTACATTTAACTGCCGCAACTTTTATAATTCATTTGAGATTTAAATTCATTCGCGAGTATATGAATAAATAAATCAATAGACCTAACGTTTTAGAAAATACTACAAATGGCGCGGTAAACGCCATCTGTAGTACGATGCTACATTTTAGGATTACGCACTGTTAAGACAGCAGATAAAAGACGCGCTGATGAGATCTAAAAAGATCCGCGTGTGGCAGTTTCGACAGAATACAGACCACCTCGAATTATTTTAATAGACCTAACCACAATGATTTTATTAGTTTTCGGTTTATTAAAATAGACAAGTAATTGCGGACCGTCTATCATTGTGTAGATTTGATTTTGATGATTATGTTTGCTTCAATTTGCCATTATATTTGCAGAAGTTAATCAATTCCCCGAGGTATACTGATTAAGTGTATTAAATTGCCGAGTTTCTTTTTTGATCTAATGAAAATACTGAAAAGCAATAAGGCCAAAAGCTAAATATTTACTTACTGGCTTTCGTGTTCTCTATTCTCTGTTTGACGGAGCCTCGATCTGATTTATTTTTTTCCATTGAGTTGTTGGTGTGTGTTCACATACGATTGAACTTTATTTTTTAATCTCGTTGCTGAGAGAATGATTCTCTGCGATGGAGAGGAGAACGAACGCAATTTCTTTTTAATCTTCTTCTCTTCATCTCTACCGCTAAGAATAAAATCTTACAAACAAGTTTGTTTGGCAACGAATTCACATTATAAGAGTCCCCTCCATGTTCACTCATGCGGACATGTCTTCACAAAGAGCGACATCCAGTTTCGCTTTCTTTATTCGAAAAGTTTAAGTTCACATTTTATCGATTTTCTTTTAGGTGAATGCCTTTTTTGATTCGATTAATAAGTTAATGATAAATGACCATTCAATTTTTTGTCAGCAATTTTTCGCCACCAGCAAATGTAGATGTCGCTATCGAGCATGTTAAAGGGAAAATTTGACAATAGTTAAAAAAAGAGCCAAAATCATATTCTTTCCATTTTTAATAACAATCTTTCAAAGACTTTCGCATACTAATGTCAACACCTAGAAATTTCCCTAACTAAACGAAATCAATTGATTGGATACAGAAGTAGTTTTTAATCCTATAAAACTTCAAACTGGTACAAAAATGTTTAAACTTCGACCTCTAAATAGGAAAAACAAGGAGGCAGATATAAGTAATTAGAATTATAATTACCTACAAAAAAAAGTTACATTCCCATTTCATCAGGAGCTACAAATACAATCACTACGAAGAATGTAATAGCAGTTGATCAATTAAAACCACGAACGATTAATCAAACGATCAATTCAACAAAAAAAATTTACAAGCAAAAAAATTAGAATTTGTTAAAAAATTATAAACATTCTTTTTTCAAAAGAAAAATTACTTCATTTTATGTGTGTAGTTTAAAGTCTGTTCATGTTCTTATAACTAGCACCTAAACCAGTCGTAATTTAAAACTAGATTAAGGCTTGGGTTGAATTTCAAAAGTGACCTACAATTAATTATAGCAGGTACTATTGGATCTATTTGTAGTATATTGATTATCTAATTAGTGAAACTGATCATTCAAAACATGAAACACAGATCGAAAGGCTTATCCATTTTGTAAAGTAAATGCCAGAACGTAAAAACCAAAGGTTCAAAGATAACATTATATCTGCTTGCCCCAACATCCTAAAAGTGACGAGATATATTGAATAGCTACGTTTTATGTCGATTTTCAATATTCTTTGACAAGAAGTGTAAAAAAAATTGTTAAAAAAAAGCTGCATTGTTCTTAATATATGTATGTCAGTCAATATCTTGCAATATTCTGGTCCCCTCTAAGAAGAAACGAAAAATAAAGTCAATTTTTTAGATTGTTAAGTAAAAAGATACAAGAAATGACGTAGAGAACCATACAGATCTAAAATATTTGAAAAGGTTACAGAGAGTAACGATTTCCACGTACAAGATGTACCTTCAAGTGCAAAATGGACTACCTATTTTCACAATTTAATGAATTTTAAACAAATGACAACATCTAATTTTGCATTAATTAACTAATTCTATGTATAAATTGACATAATAAAGTCATTTGGTCATCATAAAGTTAAATGTAACATAAATATCGCCAAATTACGGAAAAATTTCTCCAGGAACTCGGCTGTATAAAAATTTTTGCCGAGTTATTCCAGTTATTTTAAGCATATTTAAAGAATTTATTTTGTATTTAAACCATAAAAAACATTTCAAATTTTCATGCTGCATACATTTTAAAGCCCCTTTGTTGATATTTTGTATTTAAATTGATTTTAAATAGTAAAATTCAACAAAATCTAAAAGTAGGGTTAAGGTACTGACAATTAAACTCCGCCGCCGCCACAAGAGCAAGCGATTTTCGACCTTACTCCACCACAGCGCGTTTTCCATTTTATTTATGAATGAAATAGTTTACGTTTTCATTCATTTTACTATCGTAGTACTACAGATAGTACGTGCTTTTTTATTCATGTAAAGTGAAAGGTTATTGAACCAAATGGGAATATCAATTTAATACAATTAAAATAGACTGTAAAACACTAAAATTGATAGTTTTATATAAAATAAAAGTAGACTATTAATAATATATTATAACTTGAATTCAAAAACCATTTTAAACCGTATTTATCATTCAAATATCACAAATAAAATAAATAATCTTCATTGTAAGGTGATTTTAGTAATAAAATATTTTTCTACGAGGGTGCCACAGATAAAAGTTTCAATTTTGCCTTTTAGCTTTGCATCCTAATCAAATATTGTTGCAGAATTAGAAATAAATAAGGCGTTGTGAATTATTTCAGCACAACGATAATAATTATTCACAAAAGCATGTTGTTTTATTGTGATACCCCTAGTTACAATTAAATTCTATTGTGTATTAACACGTACTACTTCTTTTGTTTCTATAAAAATGCTGTTCTTCTGTTTCTGGAAATGTGTTTTGATTAATTAACAGATACTTATACATATGTTACGTAATGGATTTTTGTGATTATGTACATGTGTTTAAAAGCAGTCAACCAACCAAACACTAGTAACACTGGTCTATTAATTATAGTTTCTAAGGTTTCGTAACTAACTATTGTTACACATAGAAAAAGCTGCTAACTAGGTATCTAATTTATATAATATTAGTTACTTGATAATAATTCGCAAATAACTTTGAGAGTTCTTCTTCTTCTTTAATGTATTGCTTTTGTTCTATTTAATCAGTGAGGATAACAAAAAAAGTAATTTTTTAATTAATTTTAAAGACGTTTATTCTTTAATAATTACTCTACTGACTTTTATGTGAAAATGCTAAGAGAAATGCAGCTAAAGTAGATACTATTGTAATTTTCACATCGTACAGTTGGAGAATATGTTTAATTTTCGATAGCTCTATCGATCTGTACCTTTTATCACATAATTCGTCGGCGCTCATTAAATTGACCCGCCTTTCTGTACGTAAGGTATTGAGTTGTTCCATTTCATTACCTCTTATCAGGAGTAGTACATAGGCCCGATGTTACTTTGTATTCAGTCGATGTGCTTTCGGAGGGCTGCAGTTTCCTGTGCCACGTCCCATTAGCCCTATCTACCGTCTCTAAACTGCTTTCCCTTGTCGCCGTGCGGTCGGTCGGTCGGTCTCTACACATATACACCCTTCAAACGACCCTGTTTTGCGACTTGCCACTGTCTTTGTCGAATCGTTTAGATATTTGATGAAAAGAAAACTTAGTCAACTTGCTGACTTGTTAAATCGACAACAAAGAAAAGATTTACTAAACAATAAAGTCTGGAAACATACTGGGACTCCTGAAAATTCTTGAATTGAGAGCGAATTTCTAACTTTTATTTATTTAGTAAGAACATTTTAATCGACTTTTTAGGCGAGACACACTAGGATAAGTTGCTGCAGCTTTAGGTTATCTTTATGTTAAGTAAATGCGTTATCTTGCATATCAGATGTTTAATAAAATGCAAAAATGATACCATCGTTACATTAAATTAGCATTTTTTGTCGCCTGTCTGGATTGCAAAAGTTTCTCGAATTCTTTTTGGACCATCAGATAGAAAACGTTCATTAAAAGGCTGAGAGCTGTAGTAAAAACACGCCTTTTAATAATTAACCACATTTATAACGTAAATGAGATGAGAATTGCCTTTGGGGCTGAAGGGTGGCTCTCGTCACGACGAAAAGTCTCCAGTCTCTTTTCCATTCCCCTTTCTCTCATCCCTCTCGTTCCTGTGTTGCGGCGGTGCGGTCGAAGATAAACGGTCCGCATATTTTTGAACGATAACGTGCCCGGCGTCTGTGTAGGTATAAGTCGTAGGGCCCGTTGACATACGCGACCATTTTTTACTCAAATGGCTGCATTACTTTTTATGTCTTATAAAGACGTAGAAGATGGGCCAGTTCATGTAATGAAATTTTATCAAACAAATTACCTTCATTCGACATTAACCTCGTGACGTTCTTTTTTTGTTCCAGGAAATCCTGTAGACCCTAATGTCGAGCAGCAACCAGTCGATGAAAATGAAGAAGGAAACGACGAAGAAACAGAAGACGAAGGTATTCTTAAAAATTATTATTTTATTAAATAAATTTTAATGATTTGGTAATAATAGTAATTTTGTCGCGGAGAGTAGGCACACGTGTACTTAACCTGTTTGTGTACCAGCTGTTGCGAAGGTTATGAGTAGGTATGAGTGTTTCGTCACATAACGCTAGCGATATCGAAGGGCGATAAGATTAAATAAATATTATGCAAAATAAACTAAAACAGTCATTAAACATTATCATCTTTACAATATTCCTGAGACATTCTCAGAGAGATGAACACTGTGACTACAAAACTACGATAATCTGTTTTTTAACTCCGTTATATTTTAATCAAGAGCGTCACCAGTCAATTAACTAAGGGGGAGGGGGCAAGATGGAAGATGCTTCTTCTTCCTGCCTTCTCTTGGTGACCACATTCATTTTGAAACTTCATATAATTTACCGCGAACGTAAATTTTTTTCGTCCCTTAACAATTGAACGATAGATATTGTTGTTTTATTTACAGGGGATGAAAACGAAGAAGAAGAGGAATACAGAAGGAGTACTGAAGTTGCAGAAACAGATTTCAACTTCTCCGAGTTTTTGAAAAGGTGACTTATTCCTACTTTATTGCGTAGGTACCTAAATTTTAATAAATCCTTCTTTTAAAATTTCAGATTGGCCCATCCGAAAGTTGTTCGATCGTGCGCCTTGGTCCTGGCCAATTTCGACAAAAATTCCGTGACTGTCAACCACTGTTTGGTGAAGTTGTTACATCGAATCGCATGGGACTGCAAGATGCATGCCATGATTTTCCAGCTGTCCATTTTCCGAACATTTCAGAGAATTTTCGCCGCTAAGGATATGCCCCAGTTCAGCGTAAGTCGTAAACCTTGTTTAGTTAACTAGGGTTAATTAATTGAAAATGCTTCTCTCCCGTGCGCCGAGAATACTATACATACATATGCAGGTGGTCGGGCAGTATTCGATGATGGATCGGACCTCTACTTTAGCAGACCGCAAAATTTGAAGTTTGCCTTTTGAGTTAGCTACGTTATACAGTACATTCATTAGGACTCGGGCTACCTGATGTCTGGGAAGGATCCGCCTACCTAAATATTATGTACCTACTCATTTTCCAGCCCACTCATTGCAGAATTAGTTTTAAATTAATTACCGACTCCGAAAACTTTACAGTACCTACGCATAAATCTATTTGTTCTCAACGACTGGAAGACTTTTAAACCTTAACGGTTCTAGCTTATATATTTTCCTCCGTAGTCACTTGTGATGATCTATTATCCATGAACCCTTTTTTGTCTTGAACTTTATCATTTATGAATATTGAATTTTAAATCTTTATAAGAGATTTTAGCCGTTATAATTTTGACTTTAAAATTAGTTTCGGGTCTTTGTGTATCTATTCATATTCTGGAAAGATTGAGGAAAAAGAAGGTACATAAAAAAGAAATAGAATATGCGACCACTACGTCTGCATATTTTGTGTGGCAATAACAGTAATTTTGTCACGGAGAGTAGGCACACGTGTACTTAACCTGTTTGTGCACCAGCTGTTGCGAAGGTTATAAGTAGGTATGAGTGTTTCGACACTTGACGCTAGCGATATCGAAGGGCGATACGATAACCCGGGTGCTAAACTGCGAGCTGTTCTCAATCGTTGACATCTCGTTAAGTGGGGTACTTTTTGTGCATATTTTTTACACCCCTACGTTGATGTGCACTTTACACTGTCTCCAGGTGTTACCTTTCAAATATTCTGGAATATTGATCAGACATGGTGCATAATATTTAATTTCCCCTTGATCTCTATTTCGGTTTTGTCTTGGTCAAATTTTCTATCGTTTTAAGTTAAATGTCATTGTTCTCGCAACTGTTGTGATATTGATCCTATACGCAGAGCTCGTCTCCTTAGTTCCTCGCATAACAGGTTGATTTCTGATTATCTTCACGATCTGAATGTGGTGAAATCAGATTATCAATTTTGCTAACTCTCAACCCTTGCCACACGGCTTACGCCATTACCGTGGCTGAGTTTATTCCGAGTTGCCGCATCTGTACGAATAAAGATAATGTTTGCTTAATAACGCAGGGCATTATGTATACATTGTGAACCACTTTGTTTGAAACAAGTCAAGATCTTCTACGTTGAACGTGGAATGCATAATTGTTACTAGAATTATACATATACAAAAGCTTGCAGGAAATTTGGCTTTACGTTAATAAAATCCACGCGACTTGTCAATTTGCCTAGGAATAGGAATATTTATTAACTTCATCATTATCATAAGGTCGTAAGTCCAAAGTCTGGTTGGACAGGCACCTCCAGTCGTTCCTATTCTGAGCTAATCTTCGCATTTCCCTAAAACTATTCTGTTCTCCTATTCTTTCTAATACCTCTTCATTTCTAACCTTCTCTATCCACTGTATCTTCATCATTCGCCTGTAACACCAAATTTCAAACGCTTCTAACCGTTCCTTTTCGACTCCTTTTTTTTATTTATTACCTTAAAATTACTTTTTCGGAATTATGAACATTTAATAAGTCCAGGTGCGTTTGAAAATTGCATACCAGTATTTTTGTCTATTTATTTTCATACAATACTGTTTTGTCTTCTTTTTTTATTTAATGCTATCTCTAACTCTTCCTTGCTAGATGCTAAGCATACTAATCTGTTGCCCTTTATTTCTACCCCTAATGTTGTTCTGTCTTTAATGATGTTTATCGCGTCTTCAAAGTATATAAATTCAAAAGCTTACATCAAACTACAACATAAAAATTACTTAATATCGTTAATTAATCATGAATTATATTTAGTTGCAATGTACATTAGGCTACATTTCATTTTACTCTTTTTATGAAGGATTTGCATCACACTAGGACAGCGCTTTACGTCTAAAGCATATAAAAGGAGAAGAAGAACCAAAAGCTCACTCATCTCCATTGTACCATATATTGAATAGAAGCGTATATTTTACTATAGACATCAATATATTCGGAAAAGTTTAAAAAGATATGTGGGTCCCTTGAGATATTTCTTTGTGCAGGACGCCTATAACATTCATTACAAAGTTAATAATGCCTTAAAGCGAATTTAACAAAAAAGATAAGGGAAAAGGGAATGCTAAAAGTGGTTCTAAAATTACTCACTTATCTCTGTCATTGCAAAACTGTTAAAAATTGATACTGAAAATATACAAGCAATAAACAGGCATATTATCTCATTAATTTATTCTTTCGTTAATGTTTTTTACTAATTGGGAATGTTCTACGTATAAATATTCAGGAGTCTTGGTGAGTTGGTGGTACGGCAAAAGGCTGACCTTTGTCTTAGTAAACCCATTATTCCGGGGAATAAAAAAGAGAAAATGCGAGGAAATCCTTAGCGTTTTCATTCTTTTATCGACACATATAAAAGCCCACCACGTTCACCAATGCGCAAAGATAAAGGGCCAAAAATTATTACGTCTTATCCTCATAAAAGCCGATTCCGTTTTAACTGCATGCGGGGTATAAAATTCTCTGCTTTAGGCAATTTTCTAGCTATTAAGCGCTAAACACGTACCCAAGAGATAATTAAAAATGAAGCGATAGATTCCTTTATTCTATTACTCGATTTCAATTAAAACTTTTCTTTCTTCGCTTTTACTTTGCGTTTACGAACAACGCCGTTTTTCTTTTTCCAATAAGTTTTATTATTGCACAAAATGGAGTCTGTAAGCTAATTATAGCTGCTGATAAAGGCACGTTTGAAAAATTGCGGAAATTTTGTGGATTATCATTTTTGTATCCTATTGTTTTCAATTGTCTCACAGGATTTGGTCAGATTTGCAAAATTCATTATGAGAGAATTTTTCAAAACTGCCCAAAAAAATAAGCACATCTTCATGGAGGTTCTCTTTTGGAAAAATTCGAGAGAAGCGTTTGATGTTGAAGAGGGATACGGATCATATCAACAACAGTAAGTCTTTTTACAATAATACTGTAACTGTAATAACTTTATTTGATTATTAAGACGAGTATTTATAAAACAACTATTTATTTAGAAAATTACACTAACTAGACACTTATATCACCCTGTATTCACCTGTCTATATACTAATGGACTTCCGTGGGGATTATTTATTTATACTATTGTTACTACTACTACTACTACTGTTCATTTTTTCTGGAAATTTCTCGAAATTCGTTTGTTACACGGGCATATATGCGTTTTTCATCAATAATTTACTACTTCGAGGGTCTCTCTTGCTTTCGGCGTCTTTAGTAAAAATATTGTGAACCATTGATTATACGTTACATAGCCCGCGATTCTTATGCCGTAGGTAATCGATATATCGATTGCATCAGATACGTGGTTACGTGGCGATACAATTTCGTCGGTGTGGTGTGAAAATGCGTGGTTCTTTGATACATGAAAATGTACTTCTTAAGTCCTTTATTCTGCACTTTATCGTAAAATAGATGGATAGATCAAATGCCAAAAAGAGTAAGATATGTTTTCATTTCCGGGCATTAGTAACCACAGTTGTTTCCTATCATGTTTCTAGATTAAGTAATAACGTTATTCTGTTTGTTTTCTGATTTTCGTCCTCCTGAACCATTAGAATTTTCGCTTGTTTGTAAATATTTCCCGTCCGTGTTGTGTGCGTGCCAAATCAAGACGATGTTCGATAATTTCGCCAAAGCGATCTGATCGGCGGTTGTTTGCCTGCTTGCTTATGCTATTCCATAAGGGGTTTGTCTGCGGGCGTTTTCATAATTTTATCCTTTTCCCCATTTGTTTGCAGATCGTCAGCTGCCCAGAAAATGTGGACGGAGTTGGAGGAAGAAGAGCTACGACGGCTATTCATGGAACATCAAGAAAAGCGGATTGATGAGGGTGAGATTGTGTTTACTTTAGGCATTACGTAATAGCAGGTCATGATTAAATTTCCGTCTTGACGTGACATCTGAATTTTACCTTGTTCTCATAATTCTGGATTATCTAAATTAACGTCTCATACGACGAACAGCCTCGTTATCCCTAATAGGTACTAATAAAATTACACGCTCGCTGATAAAATAAACGTATGTATGTATGTATGTATGTACGTGTGAGCCATTTTGTACATACTTTATCATTAAGTTGACACAGTTAGTTTCCTGTAGGTAGACTTTTACGCGAAAATTTAGTTATAAAGATTTTCAAAGCAATAGAAGGCATTCATAAAGAAGCAGTGGGCGCACCCCTCCGGGGATTTTTGCATAAATTTCAAGTTGAAATATTTTTGGAAGAAGCTATGTATAATATATAAAATTTTACCGGTCTCAAATGGTAAAATAATCGCCCTATGGCTATGGTTTTAATTTTATTTTCAGACGTGGTGGATTGGATCCAAAGGAATCTTATCAATAGCACAAGATCTCGGCGTGGGATCCTGAAAAAGCTCAAGGAGTTGTACCTTCTTACGGAGTACAGAGGACCAAAAAAGAAACCGAAAACAGCTAATAAAAATCCAGATGCTTCTAAAGAAGATGAAGATCCTCAACTAGCTAGTACATCTCACCAGGAAGAAGACCAGGGTAAGTCAAAAAATTATTGATGTCCCGAAGTGTTTAGAACAATCACGAATAGTTGCTATTTTTGATAATGAACCAACAAGATTCTCTCTTCTTTTTTTATTTTTAATGAGGTGCTCAAAAAATAATTTGAAATTATGAATTGCGGCTAATTCCAAAAATAACGCCGCCCAAGTATAATAAGTGTAACATATTTTTAAATAAGAGTTGAGAAGGTAGATTCAATAAGCGTAGCGGCAATTGCCTGTAGCCGCAACCGAGATATTTATAATGTACTAACTCAGCATAGCAATGTGGTCTGTCCTGGTCTACATTCATTGCTGTTGTGACTGTCTAGCGTCCTGTGTTTTTTAGTTGACTTGTTTTTATCCAAAGGGGGGCGTAGCTCAGATGGTAGAGCGCTCGCTTAGCATGCGAGAGGTACCGGGATCGATGCCCGGCGCCTCCAAAATTGGCTTTTTAATAATATAATTATTAATAATAACTGAGTTCATTTTTTTTTCGCTTGTACTGATATATTTTTACATGCTGCTGTGACGACATTCCTTCAACGAGTGTAGCGGCCATCACCTTCGGCCGCACCTAAGATATTTATAATACATTACTAACTAAGCGTAGCAATTGCTGTCTTGATCTAAATTCATTGCATTGGGACTGGCGTGTGTCGTGTTTTCTAGCTGACTTTTTTTGTTTTCAAGGGGGGCGTAGCTCAGATGGTAGAGCGCTCGCTTAGCATGCGAGAGGTACCGGGATCGATGCCCGGCGCCTCCAAAATTATCTTTTTGATAACTATTAATAATAAGTGAGGCAATGATGTACTTATTTTTTTTTAAAGTAAAACAAAAATACTGGTATGTAAGGGAAGAAAAAGTAGGGAAAGAACGAATGTAAAGATAGGAGACGAAATATTAGAAAAAGTGGCTGATTTTAGGTATCTAAGAAGTCAGATAAGTCAGGACGGAAGGCGTAGTAGGGATATAAAGCAGAGGATAGCGCTTGCGAACCGTTAATTTAGAAATTCGAAAAAGATTGTTAAAGGTGTATGTTACGAGCGTGACGCTGTATGGGTGCGAAACATGGACGATGGGCGCGCAGAATAGGAAAGGTTAAAAGCGTTCAAAATGTGGTATTGCAGGCTAATGATGAGGATACCTTGGATAGAGAAGGTTAGAATGAAGAGGTATTAGAAAGAATAGGAGAACAGAGGACTCTATGGAAGTCAACAAAAATAGGCGAGATAGGTTGATAGAACACATTTTCAGGCATGAAGGTCTAGAGGTAAAAACAGGAGTTAAGAGGAGTAGAGGTCGACTTGGATTACTGTTCGCAAATAGTTAAGGATGTGAAATGTTGTAATTTTAAGGAAATGCAAAGATTAGCTTAGGATAAGAAAGAGTGTCCAACCAGTCTTACAATTAGGACTGACGACCTTATGATGATGATGATAATATTCTGATATATTTTAACGTGCTTCTGAATAAACCTATATTAATTGAAACAGTTTTGCATTTCGTTACGTTGCTGACGAATATTTTAATCGTTCTTATTATACATATCTAAGTCTACTTTCTCCAATTGGCATTTTTAATTAGGTCGGTAGTACCACACCTTATAGCAAAAGGCGGAGTTGTATGCAAACGAAATGACCTTTTTTTAAATATATTAGTGAATGTTAAATGCAAGATCAAACTTTTCAAAGTTTCATGAACATTTTGAAACTTTAGAAAGGTAGGTATTCAATAAACAATTAAAAATGTTTCGAGAACTTTAAAAAATTTATACAGCCCTTTCAGTCTTTTTTTTGTTTTTTTTTTGTTCTTTCTGTTTTCACTTCCGCCTCAGCTGTGTTTCCTCTATCCACCCATTTCCATGATTCCTAAAAGGAGGTTAAAGAGGGCTTCCCACCCTACTTTCTAGGTTTGCACTAATGTATTGGAGCATTAGTACTGGATGAAAATGAAACACGTAAAAGTTCCTCTTTTACCGAAGAATTTTAGGCAGTTGTTATGCATACAAATCCGTCTTTTCCTATACATGTCTGACTCATTTCTGTTTTGAGTCGAACTACGCTGAAAGTAAACCGGGGGCGTAGCTCAGATGGTAGAGCGCTCGCTTAGCATGCGAGAGGTACCGGGATCGATGCCCGGCGCCTCCAAGGGTTGTGTCTTTTTTATACTTTTTTAAAGAAAAAGTAATCACAAGATACCTTCGGAGTTTAATTGATTTTTATGTTTAATACGGGGTAAGGTTGTTCCTAGAAATCTTTGTTTTGAAAGCAGTGAAATGTGTCACTGTTTTCCATCGATACAAATTGGTTTTAGTGGTATTTGCGGTGGATGATTTAATATCAGAAGTTAGGATAAAATCTAATGGAATGTTGCGGAAACTTTTCATATTGCCTTTAGCTGTAGAAGTTTTCATTTTCACGTTAAGCAAGGAAAACTTTACAGTATTTTAGCTTTTTCCTTCGGAAATAACCGTGACATATTGTTGTAGACTAAAATATAGCAAGAAAATTTTATTTTAGTTCTAGGAGTTTTCAACTTCTCATTTTTTATTGTCTCTATTTAGGATGTCAACGTTTCTGTTTTGCGTATAATCATAAGTTTCTAATTATGTAGATGATTTGCTAATACACTAATTAGACAACATATTTACACAAAACGTTTCAGAATCTGTCCATTTAAAGCTGATGCGAGCTTTAGTGAATTTGCTTATTAACCATTTAATTTGATTGTGCTATAGGTCAGTTATTAATTAAGAATTTAAAGATGCATTTTCTAATAAATGCTGCAACATGTTTACAAGAAACACGACATACATTCCTTCATTCCTCTGTTTACTCACATTGTACTTTATCTGCTCTCCTTGCTTTCTATTGAACGTTAAAGGTCTCTAATGAATACTACTCATCACATTAGTAAAACAAGCCTACTTCACACTAAAACGTGTAATTTGCAGCTTGAAGAATGCGTAACGTAAACAGGTACTCTTTTTTGACTGATTTCGCTCAGTTTTGACTACTTGTGCTCACCTACTGCTCGCCGTCTATACATCTTGGTTACCTACTACTTACATTTAATACATTCTGCTCACCTTCTGTTTCTTTTGCTTGCCGACCACTCGCCTTTAACTCGTAGCGCTCTATTCACCCTTGTTATCCATTACTTACTATCGATCCATGCGGCTCCCTGACTACTCACATTTAATTCAAAGCCCTCGTCAGTTACTCATTGTCTGTTCATTCTAGTTGCCTGCTATGTTCTTTATTAGACTCATTCCGCTCTCTGATAACTCGCTTTTGACTCTTAGCGCTCGCCAACTGCTCGTCTTCTACGTCTTGGATGCTGCTCTCTACATACTTCCAATCCGCTCCTTTCGCTAACCTTTCGTCTTTCACTCTTAGCACTCGCCGACTGCTCATTTCTATTCACACTTGTTCTCTACTGCTTACATTCGATTCATTCCGATTAATGACTACTCTACTACTCGGGATAGTGTCACGAACCGGACATTCGCCGTCATTTCAACTCGCTCTTGACTCGTAGCGCTCGCCAACTGCTCACCTCTGCGTCTTGACTACCTGCTATTCACTTTTAATTCATTGTGCTCACCTTTTGTTTCTTCTGCTTCATTAATAGAATTAATGAATTATTTGTTCATTGTGTGCTACTTGGTTTATACTCATTTTGGTAAATGGATTGTGACTCTTAGCGCTCGCCAACTGCTCTTCTTATGCGTCTTGATTTTACTTACTATTTACTTTTAATTCATTCTGTTCACCTTTTGCTTCTTCTATTTGTATTTTATATACCTCCCACTCGCTCGTTTCGGCAGCGGTTGCCTGCTACATATTTTATACTCATTTTGACAACTGGACATTGACTCGTAGCGCTCGTTAACTGCTCGTTTTATATTTGCCTTGCTTATCTACTACTTTCGACTGGTATTGCTCGTCGGACTTTCGCCATCATTTTAACTCGCCCTTGACTCGTAGCGCTCGCCAACTGCTCGTCTTTTGCGTCTTGATTGTACTTACTATTTACTTTTAATTCATTCTGTTCACCTTTTGCTTCTTCTATTTGTATTTTATATACCTCCCACTCGCTTCTTTTCGTTAGCTGTTGCCTTCTACATATTTTATACTCATTTTGACAACTGGCAATTGACTCATAGCGCTCGCTTGCTACTCAAACCGCTCGCCGTGTATTCGCCTTCATTTCATAACACTCGCAGCTTGCTGGCCTTCTATTCGTCTCTCACCCGGTATACTCGCCATAATGAAAATTTCTGCTAAACTAGGTGTTCATGCAGCCATTTAAGCCCACTTTCGTATAAATTCTATCGTGTAAGCCCTTTTAAAACCGATTTATTTGTGTATTAACGTGGAGCAGAATAAAACTAAACAATGCGTCGTGCTCGTGGATATTTTTTCATTCACTTGCAGCACACCGCATGAATATTCATTAGGGCCCACGGCGCCGGCGTCCCGTTTTTCGTAACAACGATGGCGGTAAGCTGTTAATGTACTATCCGTGCGGTTGTGTTGTTGAACGTACCGCTTTGTATTCCGTGAATATTCAAAGTTAGTGATGTTTGGATTTCTCGAGTAGAGCTCTTTCCCTTCTCTCCCTCTGTCGTCGGTTTAGAAGTTATTTTGTTTAACATTAGATTGCCTTGTGTGCAGGATTAAACGTTGAAACACCACGAACCGCTGCTACCGGATGCGATTTAGGGACCAGAAAGTTTTCGGGTGCAGAACAGGATTGATCGTGCTAGAAATATACGCATTTATTAACATTAACATTTGAGTATATCTGGAGACGTGTGTCCGTATAGATAAACTAAAATCGATTTCATTTGTCTATAACCGCTTTTAGACCAGTGGTGTTGTGCTAATTTTTTTTTACCGGAACGCGTATATATAATTATATAGACAGGGCCGATCCTGGGTAGGCGGCCGCTCTGTGCGGTCTCATGTCCCAAATTTGACGACGACGACGGGGGCGGATTTCCCCCAATTTTCGCCCGTCGCCGGGATCGGCCCTGTATATAGCATAAAAAGGAAAGGAAACGAAAATCATTACGAAACCCATTTTGTGTATATGTATATTTATATTCTTAGCATTAGCCGCAGGCCCATTTGGGTATGGCAATAAACTATGCCAGGGATGAGTAACGTACGGTCCGTGGGCCGCTTGTATTAAAATTTATGTATGAAATCTTTGCTTTTTTAAAATTTTATATTTTCTTTGTTCTAATGTTTATTATAAATAAAGTTTAATTCCCGTTGAACCGGTTCAAAAACCGGTTCACGTATTTGTTTCGGTTCGGTTCGAGTTCCGGTTCAGCAGAAAAAAAAACGTTCCGGACTCCGGTTCACGGTTCGGAAAAACAAGCCGGTTCGTTCCGGTTTTTGTTCCGGTTCGGGTTCGGTTCAAACCCTTGTTTATAATAATACATATAAAAATTCTTCAAAAATTAGAAAAAAAAAATCTGCAATTCTTTTTGATTTTTTTTTTCAATACGTCAGCCAATTCTCGTTATCAGAAATCATCTTTAGTTCCGGAACGCGTTCCGGCTCGACAACACCACTGTTTTGGACTATTTCCTTCTCGCTGGTTTAACATCAGTTCATATTTGAAACTTTATCTGTCAATTTGACTTGACAAATAGGAGCTTGAGTATCTAAAATTAATCACAATAAGACTGGTTAACAACTCGACTAACACGTGAACAAAAGTATTTATTACTTAGAAAATTATCGACAACAAAACGTACTTTCTTCTCGATATCTTAAAAAATATAATCAGCATTTTCTCAACGAAATCGTTTAGCAACTGTTTTAAGGTTCCATATTAAATTATTTTCAACTGACCCCGAAAAAAATATAAATGAGAGCAGTAGACACAGCCTACGTAATTTCGGGGTAAAGATAAGCATAAAAACACTGAAACGAAGATAAAAGTTCGTTTTTCTTAATAAGAGTTAAGGTCGGCTCATGAATTAAGAAAGAAAGCCAATTTAATTATTAGCTACGACGAGGAGGAGAAGTGAATGTCGAGATTCTTCTTTCTGTTAATTGAAGTGCATTTTTTAGTAGAAGGTACTAATAGACCTGGTCACAAAAGCAAAGTGTTCACAACTATTTTATTTTAATTTTTATTATACAGTTGGTTGTTTATAATTTATTTGAAATTCGTATATTTTTCTAACAGAAGAGACTTCTCACGTATTGTCCCAATCATCATCATCTTCAGAAGGAGAAGATGATGATATTGATGAAAATGTACGTAATGCAAATAAGGAAGGCAACGAATCGTTGGTAATAGAACCAAGAAAAAAAATAAAAAAGCTGAAAACAATAAATAAACTAGGCGACGATGATGATTCCAAAAAGAAAAGTGCTGCAAATAATGATAAGTCAAAACAAAACAAAAAAGTAAAGAAACCGCGAATGCCGAAGAATGAATCAATATCATCTCAAGCCGAAATTGGGGAAGAAATTAAACCTAAAAAGAAAATGAAAAAATCGACCATAAATAATAAAAGTGGACCATCAACTGAAATACACAAAAGTAATAGTAACGGTGATGCTGAATCTGCACCCAAAGGAAGGAAGGAAGTAAAGAAAAAGAAGAATAAAAGAAGAAATTTCAACCCTAATCTATCAGCAGCTGCAGTAGAGGTAAGAATGAGATTAATTTTTTTTAAATTAAGACGTTTAAAACAATCAAATTATTAAAGCAAAGAAATCAAAACATTAAAGTTATGATAAATTGTGCGGGTAGGTACTTGTCGTAATCAAACGTTTTTGCATTTATTGCCTAAAAGTTTTAAGATAAATGTGAAATAACTTGTTGACATATTTTTTATCATGTACCAGAGGCAAGAAATTCAGCGGCTTCAACTTTAAATGAATACATCGTTAGGGATGTTTTAAATGAAATTTTATACTTATTGTGCGCTCGACAGTATTCATAGCGGGGCTTTTTCATCTAAAAAACCATCGTATCTCATCCTGTAGAGTACAAGTACTTCCATGCTTATACCCTTGTTGTAAACAAGAGGGTAGATACATGGAATGTAACGTATGGTCCTGATGAAAAATTGTAAAGGGATGATATATCAGCGTATACTTACCCAGTGTATACAGCTAACAGTTAAAAATCGTTTGTGTTTCCCTTAATTATTATCGAAACAACTTCTTTTATGTCTTTATTTTCGGTTGGACATTTTCTACTCTTGATGAGTATCATATTTTTGTTTTTATAAAAGAGTAAACTGAAAAATTGAAGCATTTAAAATAGTATCCAAAAATAGCATTAGTTATCTATCATTTCTGTGCACATCAGTTTAATTTATCTTTCAGAACACCCCGTATATTGAAACTGAGGACATCACAAAGGCTGCTAATGAAAATGTAAGTTCAAATAGTGCTAATGAAAATCAAAACGATTCTGATCTTCCAAATAACAAAAGTCGTCGAATGCATAAGAGAATAAGGGTGGAAGATTCTGATTCTGATGGTGGTAATGACAGCAAACGCTACAAGGGTGAAAATTATTCAAATATTTCGGGGAACGAAAATTCTAATGAAAGTAGCACAGGTCAAGAAACAAATACGAATTTGCTAGAAGAAAATTACAACTTTGAATCAGAATCTTTCAACTTTAAAAAGAAGAAAACTAGAATGCTATTAGTCAGCGATGACGAGGAAGATTAGTATTTTATTTCTTTTTATTTTAAACATTTTTTTTAACGTTTTATTGTCAACCGTAATAGGTTTCTAGAAGAAACATTCAGTTTTGCTTTTAATACATTACTTAACTTAAGTTTTAATCTGTAGTTAACACTAAAATAATAAACTAATAATAATGCATGTCAATCCCTAATATTTCCCTTTTTTACATCAACCTACAATGCTGAGCAAATACGTCAAAAAAAGGTAGGTGCATTTTTTGTATTTATTTATTTCAAATTGTTATTTTTCTGTTTAACGAAGGTACCTATTTTATATTTGTTTTTTTTTGTATTTTATTGATTGATCCTCATCAAGTAAAGGTCGAATGTGTTCAATATTTGATCAATAGAAATTGAAGAAAACTTATTTCTAGGTATATATTATTTTTGAGTCTTTTGGCTTGACATTTCTTGATGCAGTAAAAAGTATATCGATCGACTTCCGTAATAAACGAACTACGAGTTATAAATGTTGATTGAAAGTCTGTTATTGTAGATTTACGTTGCTTCTCAAGTACTTTACGTAGTAGTGGAGTTATAAGGTATAATGCAGGTAGCGGAAAAGGGTTCCGGGAAATGACGTATATACGTGTGTTTCTGAATAGAGAAATTGGGAAAAACGTAATTTGTAGACTCCCAAGAGATGAGAGAAGATGGTATCGAGCAGGAAAGCTTTCGCTGGCCAGATTTTATACATCTCCGAAGATTTGATTTATAGCTCTATTTCTTGTTCGAACACTCTTCTTCTTGTTAAAATAACAGCACTGTAGCGAGTTACCCACACAGAACCAACCCTTACTGACACAGTTTTAGAAAAAGTCACCTTCGGTTTTATAATTTCGCGTAGTTATCTACTTATAAATTAAAATCGAGTTTTAAGGAGATTTGAAATTAAAATCATCAAAGAAGTTAGTTGCACAAAAAAAATAGTAAATAATTGATGATTGCACGAGGCGCATCGCAAAATTTTATTTAGTAAACATGTTGAAAATTACCAATTAAATAATAAGATAAACGCTAAATACTAAAACATTTTATAAAACCGTCAAAAATCGTACAATCTTACAATGGTGAAACTTTATTTTTCATCTGTTTTTTACTGCTTTTGTTTCATTTACTATTTTTTGTGTAATGCTATTTTCTTTAACAGTTAACTCCTAAACTCCCTTATAACATATGACACCTTTGCAGTTTCTTTTCCTTTTTCACTTTGTTTTTACTCTAATTTAGGCCACGATAGACTAATTGATATACCCATAATATGGAAAATAATTAGGTGGAAAGTAATAATACAATAACAATTTTGGTGGATTGTTCTAAGCGAAACTTTTATTTCTAAAAGTCTTTCCGGTTTTTCGTGTTATAATGGTTTTGAATTCGTATTCCTTTGGGACACCCTGTGGATGAATAAAATTTGTTTATAGCATTCCAACATAGAAGAAAAAAGCAAAATGAGATTACGCGTTCTAGATTTATGAAAATGGACAGCTATCCTCGCGTTTATATTCGACAACAAAACAAGAAGCAAAAAGGATATTCCTCATTCATCCGGTACATTTAGGCACAGAAAGCTAGCAGATGGAACAGATGAATTAATAAAAATGCAAAAGCAAAATAAACATAAATATCACGCTTCTCGTTCTAAAATAAACGTTCAAATTCTGAAAGCAGAAACATATATATTTTATAAGAAAGAAAATTTTATGTCAGAACTTAAATTACTGAAAACAAAAACAACTTTTATAGGAAACTAGCTTTTCCCCGCGGCTTCGCTCCCAGAAATTAATATTCTTTCTCCATAAAACCTTTTAGCTCCCAATTCACCCTTACAACGTTTTAATTTTGTGTAATGTCGCCATCTTTCAAATACAAACGTAGCAACAACATTTCATACTTAAGGGTTGATTTTTAAAAATTGCCAAAACACGCATTTGCTTAATTTCAGCAATGAGCATCCTTCGAGTAAATCCGAGTACAAATAAAATGTAGCCCATGGAAACGTTGCAACCTCTTTTCATTTGATTAATAATATCAAACAGCATATATACCAAGTTTCAAGTAAATTCAACCATAAATAAAGTATGTCCCAAACAAAAATTGCAACACCTTTCCCTTTTTTAAATTGTCGAGATAGATCTTTCAGAAATTAAATGAGAGACCATTAAAACAAAGTTTCAAGTAAATCTGATCACAAATAATATGTTCCATTTAAACATTGCAACTCCTCTTCACCACTCATCCCCCCCAACAGAGATTGAATTTTTTAATCAATTTCAAGTAAATCGAACCAAAAACAAACATGCAATCTTAACAAATGAAAGGCTAGACTGATGTTTTGACTGATAAATTTTTTGTTTTGCTGTCAATTTCGTTTTGTCATTCCATGTCAGTTGCGTTTACATATACCACATTTTTCTCGTGGAAAGTGATAAAAAGTATCCTATGTCCTTCTCCCGGTTGTAAGATACCTCCCCATCAATTTTCAGCCAAATCGGTTCAGCCGTTCTTGAGTTATAAGTGAAGTAACTAACACGACTTTCTTTTATATATATAGATTTTCCATTATCAGTAAGCCGTATACGTATATTATGTTACTTATTCTTTTTAAGTTGAATTGTTTACTAATATGTAGTTATTTTCTGTTCGCTTCTGTGTTTTAAATATTTAACGAAAAGTATTTCTGTTAATAGATCACCCTGTATACTCTTATTACATTGAATTTATTTCCTCAAATGGTACAGTTTACTTATTTATCCGTTATTGTATTTGGGTATTAAACAACTGTTTATTTCTGTTCAATTTATCGCTAGAGGTCACACGTATGTATGTATGTATGTACAATAGCTTTGACTCTTAATCCTTTCACTTTCCAGTATTGAAAGCTTTGAAGGAATGTATGATACAATTAGTTGCTGTTGAGAAGTCGGACGATTAGTCACCGTTGTTCGTGGTTTGTTAATGGTGTGTGCTTTTAAAAAGTGTTGTTATCGGACTTTTTGTGATTTCTTCAAATATCCATCTGCATCTTGCGTCTTTGGTTGAAGAAGTATGAATTCAGATCAAAAGGTAAGTCGAAATTGCTTTATAATATACATATATTTGTTTTATCTTTGGATAATTACATTGATATACACTATTTCGTGATTTTATTAATTAAAAGGTGTATCTAATAAGAAAATACATTTGAAATGATTATGATACTAGAACATGACAGGTACATAGAAAACATAAAGCTCTGAAATTGTGGAGTAAATAAAACGTTATCCTTTATTATGATAATAAGCGCAGGAATATTTGTCTGAAAAAAGTTCAGGTTCTTTTCATTTAAATCATTTGATTTAATGTTTAATAAATAATTTTACTTACCTTCCCGATGAGAATGTTAAACTTTTATCGTTTTTTCCAGTACGTAATAGTTATCAAAACTTTATTGCTAATGTAATTATCTAATACATTATTGCGACTATTCCGAATTGACCAGTAGGTAGGCAGGTAGCAAATCTTTTACCAAATACTTTTTTACTAATTTTTCTCAGTGTCTCTTCAATCCAAAAATCATAGCGTTATTTATTGATTGAGTTAAAGGGACTATCTTGTTTATGCAAATGGTTTTGAGAAATTTATATTGTTTTGATGACTTTTAAATCACTGCCATAAATCTTGTTCCGAGGGGTTTAAGGAAAAATAACAACAAAAAACTGTTCCGCTCTCACATTCAATCGCTTAGCATTTTTATGGAAGCCTATACAGTGAAGTTGCTCTGACAAAGTTTGATGTGGCCTGAAAATCGCTTCATACTTTTTTATATTGGGCTCATTCCTGATCATGCTCGGTACAAGGGTTGTTAGAAATCTTTATTTATGATCTTTTTTTGCGAATATATACTTAACAGCAGATTCTTCTTTTGGGTGGAAGTACAGTATAAACTCTTTATAACGTCACTCGATTTAACGACAAACTCCTTAAAACGTCGAGATTGCTTGACTTTGTTTGGTTTACATTGTTTTCTATACAATATTACACTCTATATAGCGTCACGCTCACTCTATTTAACGACAACAATGTGGCATTGTAAATCATTGAGCAGTACTTTCTAAGTTGCCGAAATAGATAAGAACTGCAGCTGTGTACGTTGTTGAAGAAGACGATCCTGTCCCTCCACCAAGCATCAAACAAGCACTTGATGCAGCGAAACTATTAAAAAAATACTTTTTATATAATCAAATTGATCCAGCAGTATCTCAAGATATGAGTAAGATACGTAACAAAATACAATTAAAATATTGGAGCAGCAAAAAACATCAGACGAGGATAACAGTATGCAATGTATGAAAAATAATGTTCGTGTGCAAAATGTGTACTATATTGGTAAATGCATATTATTATAGAATAGTAAAATAATATCTTTTATTTCTCTCCATTTAACGACCGCTCTTTATATCGCCGAAAAATGTTCAGTCCCTTAAGTGTCGTTATATAGAGTTACACTGTATTTTAATTCCAATAGTAATCGTTGTCTAATAAAATTTTTATGAATAGTTACGTCTGTCGGTGATAAAATTTGACGAAACAATTTGTACGGTTGTTGTTTTGTGACAAATTAAACAACGACAAGTGAAAAAATTATGAATGCTGTCATCAGACGTACATTTTATTTGTCATTTATCCTACCACCTACATAACGATGGACAGGCTATTTTCTCCTAAATTGGGACAAAGATAAATCTGTATTAGTTGCCACTGACGATCTTTTATAGGAACCACGACAGCGATATAATACTGCGATCCATCTCTGTAAAAAAGCACGGCTACTTTCCGCTAGAAAATCCCGTTTTATTTTAAGGCCTACAGTACCACAATATCGACCGGATTCCACTAGAAAATTATAATTTTAGGAACACCCGAACATGTGAATTTAACTGAAGAAATATTATCTTTGTACTTTAAAGATGCTTTATATTTAAAACTGTTTTCAAAAGTCAAAGATCAGTTCAAATAAATTATAATCTAATCAATTTTTTGTTTATCAGACATCTTTAATAATCAATATTTTTTCATAAAATGTTAGATACAAACCGTTGTTTAGTATTTTATAGAGAAATTCTTGACAGATGCA